CACACACACACTCACACACACACACACACACACACACGCACACGCACACGCACACACACACACACAGTTTACGTTCTGTTTATCTCAGGTGGCCCGGAAGGTATCCTATTCAAAAGCAACAGACACTTGTTGTTTTGCCGGCGCGAGCATTTTGAGTAAGTGACTTGTAATATGTCCAGCAAGCTTTAAGGCCGGATATGAACACTGGAAAAAGTTTATTTCGTATTGCTTGTGTTTGAGTTAGGTCAAGATTAAAGTCAATTAAGATCCCCAATGAGGAGGAAATGAAACAAGCCAAAGCGAGCGCAGAGCCACATTAAGCCCCGGTGGCAGTTGCTTTATATCTTGTTGAACTCTAGCGGCCCATAATTAGATGCAAAAGACTTTATTGGCTCGTTTTTTTTTTTTTTTTTTTTTTTTTTTTTTTTTTTTTTTTGAGGCGGCCTAAACCGTCGGCGTTGCGACGGGACAAATATCCTTGGTTGACCATGTCAGCTTCTCTGCCATTAATTGCATGTCAGATGGTGTGTAGAAACTACTAAAGATTCTCTCAGGATACGGCAGATTATCTCCGGATACGAGCTCTTTGGGGAAACATAAATATTGTTTCCTTTTTTTTTTTTCTTCTTCTTCTTCTTACCCCATACAGACCTTTGCGTTTTCTGTGAGGCCACATGGTGTCCATTATCATTAAGTAAGAAAATGATGACTGTCTAAGACCACCAGGGCAGCCTTTTTTTTTTCTTTTTTTTTTTTACTGCCAGGAGAGCTTAAGATGCCTTCTTGTCATTGCGTTGGGAGGAAAAAGGCAAGTTCTCGCTTCAAATAGGAATACGGTGATTATTTCAATGAGTCCGGTCAATTCAAAACGCAATCTGTAGCAAATGTGCGGGCCCAAATTTGAATTAAAGAGCACCCCCCCACCCATCTTTATTTTTTTAATCGTAATATTTGACTGCCGTTAACTTTGCCTTACTTTGTTCTGTGTGTGAGATTAACCGGTACATACGTTTGTATCTGTGGTCAAAGATAACTGTTCAAATGGTGTGCCATGAGCTCATCAACCAAACATCTCCTCTTAACAATCGGTCGGCCGAGCGAGCGAGCGGCTTTTTGCTTGTCAAGGAACAAAAGGCAGCTTTAGTTACACCTTCTTGGTTACAGAAACGGGACACACTGTTTTTCCTCCCGACACTTTCCACCGATTCCAGATTGTGTTCCCCTAGGGGCGCTAGTGAAATGTAGTCATTTGTCCGCCGGTGCCTTTTAGCGTTTTTTTTTTACAACTTTTGGAAGGAATGCAGTGGGTGATACAAGAAGCCGGCGTGGAGTCACTCTACAGGGCAAAAACACTCTGGGGTTTGATTCATAACCAGAGCGTGCAGTTACAGTGTCGCAGGGCAGGTTGGGTTACGGGCAATAATGACAAGGACAAGGAATTCCCCTGATCTCGCCATTTTGCCAAAGCGACATTAGCCCGGCATCAGCAGCCTGACATCGGAACACCTTATTGTAAAGCGAACCATGGATTTAATCTGGTCAAATCTTCCTCCTAAAATAGGGATTACAATATTGCAGTGTACAGTGAATCCTCGTTGAAAACGAGCCGGCGCGCGATGGGCGGAATCCGTGAAGTCGTCAGGTTTGCTTCCTACCTTAGAAAAAGACTCTGCGAGTGGACCGATGTTCAACAGCCTTCATTGTCCACGCGTCCATCGCTGACGGACACCAATTTGGGGTGAAAAACGACCAGCAAAATATCCGACGACACAATGCGCAACACACCTGCATGCATCTGAAAGACATCAAACACACATTAGTCGTGGCCACGTACCGTTTCGACTTCGAAATGGGAATCGAGGAGTCATGAGAAGAAATCAAAGCTCTTGCCACGCATGCGCGTCACGCTTTGTGGCCCGGGATCAACATGAAGCACTTCCTGCCTCTCAATGCAATCCTCTAATGTAACAGCAGGGGGCACAATAAGCTGAAGAAATGTGGAGTCTTTCGCATATCACATATATTGTCATGTATCATCAAACACTTGGAATGGCTCTCAATATTCTCGATTTTGAACATTGTCATCTTATGGGTCAAGCTCATCAAGAGAGCGATTGTTGCGTTTCTGCTTTCATTTCTACCCATACAAAGGAGACACGCTTGAAGTAAAGGCCGCAGCATTTCTGGACAAAAACATCCTCATCGTACCAGTGACGCACGCGTAATAATTTCATGTGGAATTGGCTGCTCTCATTGAACATTGACCAATAAAATGCAACCTGAAATGCGCATCGCCTTCCAATCAGAGAACAGTACCTGAGTGCATTGCGAACACTGAAGAACTTCGATACCGAATATATTGGGCCTTCTTATTTTTCGCCTGATTTCTCTCACGGCATCATCAAGAAGTCATTTCTTTTGTCTGTTGTTAAATATCGATCGCAATGATATCGACATTTGCATGGCGCAGCAGCCATGTGGCGCGGTGCATGCTTGTCCTTGATTGTGCAGCCCTACTTTAAATATATTAGAGCAGCGCTGTCCAAACTCTATTCGGTGAACTTAGAGGACTGTTGCCCCCCCCCCAAAAAATAAAAAATAAACATGGAAAACTATTTGCCCTCTCACCTTTAGCAGAAAGCGGATGAAATGAACTCGACAATCCAAACGATCTAAAATTGCTTCGGTGACAAACTTTAGCGCATTTGAAATAGTTGACGAATGTCAAAGTGGCCCCGTCACGCTTTCATTTTCAAAGGTTAAAAGTTTGAACGCCCCCGGATTAGCGTTACCACTTATGGCATCCTTGAAAAACTTTGAATATCATTTCAGTCGCTCCTCTTTTTGGGAAATCAAAAGATGGCCACCCAATTGAAACCCAGTCTGACGGGCGCTGTTGACAACGTCCAAGCGACTGTATTCTAACTCTCGGAGACATGCGCTGGCCTTAACCTGCTTTGCCACGTGACTGTACTTAGAGTCCTTTCCCTTGCCGTTTTGAATTTTTTTCAAGCCGGGCTCCGTCAGGACATTTGTACAAATGGCAGAGGAGGGATGAACACGATGGGACAATGAGGGGAGTGACCGAGAGTAGCCTGAGCAAGAAAGCAGGTGACGGCAGCTCCGTGTTCGCTTGTCAATGTGTCATCAAGGCGGCGGGGTTAAAGGGAGGGGGGGGGGCGGTTCGGGCTACGCCTGCCCTGCGACCGAGCATATGTGACAAATAAGGTTCCTCCCTCGGCCGGAGAACATGTCATGGACACCATCTGCGACGGCGCCCGTGAGACACTCTTGTTTGTGACCAGCAGCGCACGCTTGTTATGTGTCGAAAAGATAAATCAAGAAATAAAGTGCCAAAAATATAAGCGCATATGTTTTCTGATTCCATGTAGTTCACTGTAGTTTGGCTTGTGACGCGCAGCGCTGTTTTCAAACGAGCGAGGTGAATTGTTGCTTGTTTTTTTTTTTTTTTTTACAGCAGGTGAGCGGTTGCGAGGGGAAATCGGCACGTGAGAACATTTCTCATGTCGACGTCACAGCAGGACGGGGACAGCGGTATGGCAATGATTAGGAGCCACGGGGAGGGCTAAAGACAGGCCCCGAGCCCGCCAGTTGGAGTTGTGTTGAGTCCAGATAGAGGAAATGCTGGAATAATAAGAACAGGAAGGCTAAATGGCCTATCCAACACACCCCTCTCTGACCTCCCCTGAGCCTGGCCGACCAGGATGAAAGATCCAGCCACTTTCTTCTTCTTAATGGTTTCCTTGGTAATCAGCGTAGCGGAAGTTCTCCAGTCCGGGGTGATTAGCCCAGGCTAGGATTCCTTAATCGCCTCAGCTCCGTTCTCATGCTTTCGGGGAAAGAAAAGAGAGGAGGAAGGAGTGACAAGAAGGGGGTTGGGGGGTGGGGGGGAGGAAGCAAGGGTGATAACAGGGCTGGCCTGTTTGAAGAGAAAGCAAAAGTGGGGCGGGAGGGGGGAGAGAAATGTTTGGATATGAGATGATTCGGCAGGGCCACAAATGTTCCAAGTGGGGGTTTGGTACATCTTCAGCTGGGCCCTTTGTTGCGTTTCTTTGAAGCGACAGGAGTGGGACGGCGTTCCCGACATGACCCGCGAACAAGGTAAGAGAAAAGAGCATCCCGTGGTTTTTTTCCCCCTCACTTGCATTGGGACATTTCCCAGATCGCATTTGAATTTCTGAAAACGACTTGTTCATTTCGTCACCGGGGCAAATCCCCAAAGTGCTTTCTCATTTCTTTGAGCAAAAATGGCTGAGCACGTTGTCGTAACCATTGTCCGTTTCTCCTCAAGAGGGTTTGAAAATGCTTCCCCTGGCGCTCCACATTGCCCTTCTTTGCCAGTGCCATCGGTGAATTGCAGGCGAGAAAAGCTACGCGGCAACAGTCGCCGATGGGGTCGCGGTCCACTCGTCGGACCCCCTAGACCCCTGGCGATAGACTTGGGACCAGTCGGCGGGCTACCGGTCCGTCGCGATGAGCGTATCGGGCTCCCCTGCCCTGATCCGCATGCCACCGGCGAGGGTGTCCGACTGCGAAAACGAAGCGAACAACGGGTTGTGTCTGTTCATCTCATACAGCGCAGTCTCTTTTTCTACAGCATGCACAAACAAACTCATATTCATTGCATGGATGTCTCATTCCAGCACTTTTTTTTTTTTTTTTTTGACGATGCATTAAATTGTGTCAAGTTGCATCTCGCTCTGTGTGCCCATGTACGCACGTCGGTCTGCCTGTGTATGCGTTTGAAGTCGGGATCCTCCACCTGTACTGCTTGAGAGATAATCCGGTTAGGTGCCCGTCTCGTTTCAGCAGCCCGGCGATGCGGTTGAAGCTCAACAGTACCCCCTCGGGGGTCCGGGGCGCCTCTCTCGCCAATCGCTCCGGCTTAAGCACGGCGCGGTAAGGAGATGAGGCCTGACTCGGCCCTCGTTACAGAAATTAAATGGATCAGGGAGTAAACATAACCAGCTTTTTTTTTTTTTTTTTATATGATCTCCGGCTCCAAGCAGACAGAGTGTTGGGGGGAAGATGGAGACGGAGGGTGGGAGGGATCGGAGGAAGAGAAGGCGAGATTCCTCCTCTAATTACTTCATGGGTCACTGCTCCTGCAGGCAGATGTCAAAATCCAACACTCTCTGATGTGAGGAGAGAGCTGGAGTATGGGGGGGAGGGGGGGTAGAGTGGAGGGTGTGAGGACGAAGAAGAAGAATGAGAAAAAGAGGAGGAAGCGGATGCACTTTCACGTGTCTTTTCAAAATAAGACACGGGCCATTTAATACGTCGGCAGGGAAGCGGGGCAATGTGGCGGTGATGACACAAATTGCTTCTGGAGAGGCGATGACCTGAGATTGGCCCTTGTGGAGCAAAGAGCGAGCAGACAAGCTCCGAAGAAGTCCCTTCCCTTTCACCCCGTGCCGAAAATCCACGTGGACAAGCAAGTGAATGCAAAGAGCACCAACACGACACTCCGCGCAAAAACACCCCAAACAAAACAAAAAAAACGATTTATCCTTTGACGACTGCGAGTCGCCTGCCCCAAACCGGATACCTCGTTTATTAGGACTGCCCCGTACGGTACCTCGGGACATCCAGCGCTCCAGCGATACCAATGAGGAGGAGTCGGAGACATTTCAAAAGCGAGCCTTACTGATATCTTATCCGGACACGACATTGATATTGCAAACTCTATCTTCTGTGTACTTCTGTTCACGTTAACGCGACCAGACGCGCATCTATTAGTGTCCAAAAATAGCACCAGCTTCAGGCCAGGTATTTGGCCAACTTCGCATTTCACGTCATAATCACACCCCGGTGGATTTGGGATTCAAAACTGACCAACTTCTGTTCCGGGGTGGCATCAAGACAGAAGGTGGGATCTGGTCGGGGCGGGCCATTTAATACGTCGGCAGGGAAGCGGGGCAATGTGGCGGTGATGACACAAATTGCTTCTGGAGAGGCGATGACCTGAGATTGGCCCTTGTGGAGCAAAGAGCGAGCAGACAAGCTCCGAAGAAGTCCCTTCCCTTTCACCCCGTGCCGAAAATCCACGTGGACAAGCAAGTGAATGCAAAGAGGACCAACACGGCACTCCGCGCAAAAACACCCCAAACAAAACAAAAAAAACGATTTATCCTTTGACGACTGCGAGTCACCTGCCCCAAACCGGATACCTCGTTTATTAAGACTGCCCCGTACGGTACCTCGGGACATTCAGCACTCCAGCGATACCAATGTGGAGGAGTCGGAGACATTTCAAAAGCGAGCCTTCCTGATATCTTATCCGGACACGACATTGATATTGCAAACTCTATCTTCTGTGTACTTCTGTTCACGTTAACGCGACCAGACGCGCATCTATTAGTGTCCAAAAATAGCACGAGCTTTAGGCCAGGTATTTGGCCAACTTCGCATTTCACGTCATAATCACACCCCGGTGGATTTGGGATTCGAAACTGACCAACTTCTGTTACAGGAAACGTGAAGAGTTCCAACAAGAATAGGACTATTATCGTGGTAAAGCATGGATTATTTTGAAGCCGTCTACGTGCGCGTGGTGGTCCGTGTCCACGTGCGCTGCAAGAGCGCGCTCTTTGAACGTGTCCAACCTGCAGTTGGTCGATGGCTGTCCCACCAAAAGGGAGGTCGTCGTTGCCCGCTGCTGTGCTGGGAGGCGTTGCTTTTGGCACGAATCGCAGCGCGTGCCTTCCTCGACGTTTCCCGAGCCAGGTGAATTCATTTTGCCGCTGCGTGGCTCGTGTCTTTTTGGGACGATCTGGAAAGAGGAATACAAAAAAAGAATGCTTCAACCACGTACACGTTGGCTTTGCGCTATGCCGCTGATTGGAGGCGAGGTTGCTTTTTACACAAGTGGCTGGTTTTCCAGGCCGTATCCGCAACATGAAAAATCCGAAACGTTCCTTTGACACGAAAGAAACATTTATTTCAATAACCACGACATGCTTAAATGCAAAACAAAGCTGGCAATATTTACCTGTTTGTTTCATCCGGCGGGGAAAATCAGGACGCCGATAGCATCGACTAGCGTGGAAGAGTCGCTGCTTCTTCTTCGGTAGTTGCGTCAGGTCTTTCCAGCATGCTGCTATCGAAATGGCGCCTCCGTGGCGGCGAAATGCCGCAACTGCAGTTAAAATACGGACGAGAGACGTCAATCGCTCCATCGATCGGCCCGGCTGCGGGCGGGCGGCGCAAAATGAGCCGCCGCGCCATTTTGAACGCAGGAAAAACTCGACTTCATTTCTCCAGTAACCGCGTGGATTGGAGCATGTCACTAAAACCCACACGGCAGCTCTGTATTGATCGATGCATCGAGAGCTCCATACACCGACAAAGAAATCAAAGGTACAAACAGATGGAGGTCCCTTGGGCGAGGCCGAAACCCCAATGTGCCGGGTGAGGGGCCTGGGGTTTTCTTTTCAGCCGGTCTTAAATATTCATGGCGTTCTCCCGACTGGAAACCCCGGCCTGGGCCGGCCGAGCGGCCGGATGAAACGCTGGCACCGACTCACCCTGGCCCTCTCATCCTCACACGGGCAATGGCAGCAGCGATCAACAATGCGCCTTTTTTGTTTTGATCAAAACCTCTCCTCCTAAAGGAAATACAAGCGCTGTTGTCTGTCCACTCGACTTGCTCCCTCACAGGGCTCTCAGCTCCTGACGGCCCGTGCAACAGTCTGAAGAGAACCCCATTGACATCCCCCGGATTAACATATATTAAGGGGTTAAAGGAAAGGGCCATTATTGTTGTTTGAGAGTGCGAGCGAGCCGTGGGACATGGCGCCTCCGCTCTGGAAGCCCTGAATGGCAAATGCTGAACCGCACTTCATGATGGCAGCACGCTCCATTGACAACGTCGATCAGAAGCGGGAAAATCTCCCGTTGAAAGGAGTTCAACGTAGCGTATCCAAGATCACTCGCTTGATGCTGTGAAGGTTGTCGAAGAAAAAAGAAAAAAACAAAGCAAACAAAAATCACCATCCGCACTCGGGTCATAAAACTCAATGATTTTAGTGGTGGGATTTTCCACCCCGGTATTCATTTGTATCAGATTGTATAGACTGCGTCTTGCATTTCCATGACCTCACATTGCTTTTATATGATACTTGATCATAACAATGTACATTGATTGTATTGGTTTGCATTCGTGCGTGTGCCATTGTTTGGGTAAATGTGAGGGGGTGACAGTCCGGGTATCCATGACATGTGGCAGCTCCGGGACGGGAATTTCCAGACTGTGCTTCTATTGACATGGATCTGAGGCTCGGGTCCAAAAAAAAAAAAAAAAGGCTCCAGCGTGATACTGTGTTGTGTCATCCCTAAATGCAGGATTTTGTTCCTGCCAACATCCTCAAGGGAGGGGCAGGGCAGAATGGTGGGCAGTTTTGTTATTATTGTTTTTTTTTGGGTCGGGGGGAGTATATCAACCCTAATTTACGGTACAGTATACGAATGACCTCAAGTGGAGATGCTCACTGATTGATCCATTGTGCGATACGGGCTGAAAGATTCTTTTTGAAGGTGTTCAATTTGGTCCCGGTACCAAGGGGCCACCTCCAGTTGGGGATTTGGTCATCCTTGCAATGACAGCATGCAGACAGCCGTTGGTATGATGTCAAGATGTGCGTGCGAGTGTGCGGACGGGAATGAGGAAGTGCGAAACATCCATCTCTTGCCCGCCACGCGGTGCCTGTCGTGGAGGCATGAACGTCGACGAGAGCCAACCGGATTGAGGCGCCGCCCGTCCGGTCGCAGGCCTCATCGTCGTGACCGCAATCCTTTTGATCGTCACCTCCGTCCGAGAGCGGAGGAGCGGTGGCCGTGATGACGTCTTTTGCGTTGTTCCATCCCCCCCCCCCCCCCACCTATCCACTCACCCAAAAGCAGCCTTTTTTCTCCTCGCTCAGCGGGCCTGCCCATACAAATTCTCACGCTGCGTCACACTGAGCAAAGATAGACTGCGGTCGTAACGATAACAGACTGCATTCCTTTCTACAGTGAATCAGGTTTCAAACACGTTCTCGGACAAAATGATCTCCACTGTAGGGACAGTGGGCAGAGCTGGCCGCCCACTTTGCGGTTCCTCCCAAAGGTGTTTTCTGGAGTGATGCCGCCATCCCCGAAGCCGCGATGGATTCGTATGCTGTTGAAAAATCGTGTCGAGCTCTGGCTCGTGAAGTCAAACCATCACATCAGACAGAAAAAGCCAGGCCAAGTTGCTATCCTTGGTGCTAAGGTAGCCAAGCTGAAAAATGTTGGCGGCTGTTGCAATGTTCGGCCTGTTGCTTTTTGCGACTGAATAACGGGAACAAGAACGGCCAATTTTGAAGGATCAGTGTTGCACCGCAATATTGTTGGCCTATTTCTCCTATTCATCACGCAGTGCATTTAACAATTAGTTATTGATTTCATTCAACAACTTTAAAAAAAAATTTAAAAAAAGAAAGAATGAAATTGGCAACACGGTACAGGTAATAAGCACGATCCATCCGAAAATACAGTAAATCATCTCAATCTGTCTGATAAACCTTCCCATAAATATCCAGCACAAACTTTTGAGTCATCTCACCAAGAGACAAACATTGGTGGAGGTAATTATCTTGTCCAACCTCATTGTGGTAGGTCGAGCCTTATCCTCCTGGAAGACTTGACAGAAAAAAAAAAAAAATAGCCCTCCTTGTGGTGTGAGGGGCCCCGATTATGTGAAAAGTGGAGGGTTTTGAAAAAAAATTTTTTAAAAAAAAAAAAAAAAAAAAAAAAGGACTAAAACGCACACATGGAAGGTGATATCTTGTGAAATTCCTTCCGAAGAGGAAGGACGGATTATGAAAATCGAATGAGGAGATGAAGCTGGGGGGTGGGCGGCGGGGTGGGCACGAAATAAGGAGTGCAGAGCAGAATATGTCCTATTTTTTGAAGCTCTTTTCATGCATGCAGGCTCTGTCTGTCTCCTTCCTCGCAGCTACGAGGCAGCAGTGATTGTCCCTTGTCGGTCCCACGGTCCCTACAGTGGAGGCCCACCCTACAGCCATGCCCCCAGACACACCGTCTGATGAGGCGGACAAGGCTTATTCTGAGAACCCGGGGGAAAACACACACACACACACACACACACACACACACACACACACACACACACACACACACACACACACACACACACACAGTGCACTGGAGTGAGGCGAAAGGAGCTCACGCTATCAATTATCTTGTGCGGAACAACCCAAATGTCTACAAGGTAAAGGTGGCACATCTAAAATAAAAAGACGAGCGCACACGCTGCAGAGTCAGGCGGAAGAGCACAAGTCTGTGCACAAAGGTGAGAAGGAACACGTGCAATCAGACACGCACGGCGCGCACATGCAAACACAAACATGGATCAACAGGGCAGGTGGATGCGCTCAGCCGTTGGCGCGCACATACGCACTCAAGACTGGCACGGTGTCAAAAGCAACACGTCAGCACGCACCCGCCCGGCACTGCAACTCACAAAGGTGGAACTGGAGTTGTCAGAAAGGAACCGTTCAGTCATCTTTTTAAGGAGTCGTTGCATCGAAACCAAGGGCTGAAACTTCGGCGCTTTGGGCAAAATAGGACCTGCCGGCACCTTGGTCACCGTTGTGAAGTTTTTGTAAAATGTTGTGCCTTTGTATCCGTTTGTGGAGGATGAAATGACGGCGTTTCGGAGTGTGTCCGTATGGGATTTTGCTGATGCGCATTTGCCCAAATTAGGTCACAAATGTAAGCTTGGGCCGAAAATGTTCTCACCGGGGTCACACTGGAAAGAGAACGGAAGTCCTGAAATGAAATACAGAATCCGAGTGATGCTGCAACTGGTTCAAGGGTCCCAACTTCATCATCAACTGAAAAGAGAAACGGAAATGAACCTTCCTGGTGTGTTCGTTCCTTAGCGACACCCAGATTTAAAAAAACAATTTTTTTTTTTGCTCCATGGTACCCTCTCGATTTAATGTGAGCCTCTCTCCGTTTAATATGAAAGACAATGTCCATTTAAAATGATCTTTGTTTGCATTCTAGCTTGAACGTGGCTCTGTGAAAGGGCATTTTATTCACTTAACCGGATGACAGATTCATTTAAGCCTAAAGCAGAATTAAACTGAGTAATCTTGCATTTATTTTACGACTCGGTACCCATTAAGTCGATATATAATTTGGCTTGACTTTTTTCCTTATATGGGATTTGGGATAGATTTGATATGGAGCAAGTTTCCATGGGATTCCCCTGATCCACTTTCGAGAGGTCCAGCTTGTGCCAAACTTTTTCCCCTTTCATCTGCATTATTATTAGTATAAATTGTTGTTTTTTTTAAAAAAAAAAAAAAAAAAACCCCCCCGCCACAACGTTATGTCCACTTGCGCGTTTTAATAGGATTCAATGCAATCGCCGTTTGAAATTGTGATTCAATTATATTCGATGTTTGTGCAGCTGTTGTACCGCCGCTCGTTCGATTGCCAGGGTGTCGTAATGTTGTGGATATATTGTAACATCTCAGTGTGGTACTTTTTCATGCGCACGCTATTATTCCAATGCATGGTTGGAGCCCCCACCCCCCCACCCCCCCCCCACCCGCCTGTTGTTTACACAATTTCTCATTCGTTCCCTACCTTACCTTGAATTGTTGCCCAAGGCCTTTGAATAACCTCAAACGTGTGTACCTCTGTGGGACCAATTTTAATTCCCCCCCACCCCACCCAACCCAACAACACCAGTTCAGAAGATTTCACGATTGACATCAA